ATAATTGAAAGTTCAGCAAGGTCTTCCTTCAATCACCCGACAGTTAAGGTTCTTCACTGGATTTGCAATCGCAAAACTTCACAGCCGTTAAGGTTCCTCACTGGTTTCAGTCTTTCAGATGCTTTTATTCGGTTATAAAAATTATTAGAGGTCGTCAGGGGATGTAGTGGTTAAATGGTTTCGGGTCATTGTTGTTGTGGTCTATGGTCCTTTCTTAGAATCGCCACAAATGGAAATTTAATTTCTTTTTAACTAAACATCAGAACCGACGTTTATAATTTAATTTTTATCTTTTTTAACTAAACATCAGAACAACGTCATTTCAATAATCGGTTTAAAAAATAAAAATCAAACCAAACAGATCTATTGCAACGGACGTTTATAATTTAACAGAGTTGACATGTTTTTGCAACAACAAAAAAAAATAGATTGTGTATGAAATTTGAATTTTATAGATTGTCTATAAATTGTGGATTGATAAAAAAAGTTGGGTATATTTTTACCTTATTATATAAATGATGTCTTTATATTTATCACTTTTAGACTATGATATAAGTTCTATTTGGAGTCTATTATGTGTGTCTAAGATGTGTTTTGAAACTATTACAGATTCAGTTGTGTTTTGGAGCAATTGTGGAGATTATTAGACTTTCCAGCACTTAAAGAAAGAAGAATACCGTATCTGGTTATATTCGTACGAGTCGAGACAGAGCATGGACATCGAACCTTGCCATCGATCAATGGTCGACACGTGAAAACCCATTCTGCGAAGCAGACGATTTAGAGCTTAAATCACAACAAATTATGAGATTATCCCGGAACGAATTTTACTTAGTTTATATGTTTTTTTACTGGTGTTTAATGCAAAGGACGGCTTTTTACATTCTTTCAAATTTCTCAGACGAATTTAATAGTTTAAGATTTTGGGAGAAGATCAAGACTTCAGAGCTTTGTAGAACCCTAGTTTTTCTATCTCTATTCTATATTATACATGCACTATTTCATAATTATGATTTTTTATTGTTTTAATGTGTCTGAGTAGTTACCTTATTAGATTTAAAGTTTACTAATTGATGGATTAGCCAAATAATAGAATTATTAAAATGATTTGTAGATTGCTTAGTGCTTGTGTTCTTGATTAGTTACCTAGAACTATGAATTAGGATATTGAATATAGTGACATGCTTGATAAATACCTGAATAATTTGCTGTGAGCCTATAATATCAGATACACACGAGAGTTGGTTTATTGGTTCCAAGTAATAAATGAATTTGGTCGATAAATTCTCATTTAAAAAAGCCATCGATCGATGTCACATACTTACCATTGATCTATGGCCAATCCGACTAAACATACGAAAGTAGTATATTCGGAGCTTAACTAGATAGATATGAAATGGATATCTTTACCAATTAAATTTGTATTCTAATTAAGACTGAAAATTCTTTAGTGTTTTATTCATTATAATTTACTACCTGAAAACTCTAAATCTAGCTATTTCATTATTTGTTCAACAACCTAACTATTTCATATGTACTTATTTTCAACATCTATATAAACTGCCTAGTTCAACTAATTGATATCAAATCTATTGTGACATCACTCTCGGTGAATTTGATCCCTAAGTAATACAGCTGGACCTCTTTTTAAGAGAATAATTAGTAGTTCTAGATTAATTTGAGTACGTACCAATAAACCAGGTATATAGCGAACATATTGTCACATACTGAGTATGATACGACCGTTTTTCTCATGCATAAGCACTAAGTCCACATAAAATTAACAAATTTTAGTTAGATTTATGGTCAGTTTTTATACAAAAAGCAAAGGTCTTTTTGTAATTTTTATTATACTTTCAAAATTAGAAATTCTCCATTTCCAAAATTCATATTTCAAAAAAAAAAAAAGATACATTTTATTAGTTACTAATAGTAAATTGTAAACATTAAAATTAATTAATTTTATTGCATCTTGATTAGTTAAAATTTGTGGAAAATAGTTAATCACAAAATATTATATTTATATTCAAAATTAAATATGATTTATTAATATGTGAAAACTATAAAATATACATTATTTTAAAATGAATAGAGTATTAAAACATATGTTGATTCAAGAGTTGTGCACAAAATGTCTTGTAACAGTTTAATTTTATTTTTAGGAGTTTAAACTTAGTAAAAATTGAATTTGGACTTTTTCTTTGTCCCTCCATTTTCACTGCCGAAAATATGCATTTTTTTCTTCTATTTAGTGAGCCAATTGATTTAAATTCTTCTGAGCTCCTATATAAATATGCCAATCTAACACTTCATTTATAAAACTCACCATTTACTGAAAAGAAATAAAAGATCTATAACAATGAAATTTTCATATTCTTTCTCCACATGCTTTTCTTTTCCTGTTTTGGCCATGCAATTTCTCATGATACATAGTGTTTCGTCATTGAACCTTACTAATGAGTATCTCAACCACAAATGCTTCCTTAATGGAGGGAAATATAACTCTGGAAGTGAGTACGAGAACAACCTCAACTGGGTCATCAATGAAATTCAAACTAGTTCTTCTGATGAGAATGGTTTCTCAGACATAAGTAATGGAACAACGACATCTAATTCTGCTAACATGGTTCTCCAATGTCGTGGTGACTCTTATGGGTCTAAATGCAATACATGCTTTGACACTGCACTTTGGGGATAAATGAGCCATCATACATTTAAGTATAAAAATTATGTTTTTGCAATGATGTAAAATTGTATCTTTGAACCAAAAGAGAATTGCCTACATGAAACAAAAACCAGGTTAGAGTAGTTAGAAAAGAAATATCAGCTGAAAAAGTTTGACATTTGTTAAAGATAGTAATGGGACAATTGTTAAAAATCTGGGATCCAATGTGAGATCCACTTTGGCTCACTCCAAATATCCAGATCTTTGAATTTGGAAGGTCGGATCTGTATAATATAATCTCCAATCAGTAAATACTGGAACTATATCCGGATGTCTTGATTTTAGTGTTTGGAAATCTGAATTCGTTAATTATGTTTACAATATATGGCATATGATTTTAGTGTTTGGCATATATTTGTTTTATATAATGCTATAAAAAATTAGTTTACTATTATTATAAAAATTAATCATTATTTTTATAGTTCTGTGTTCAAATATGAAAATCCACTGTCATGCTAACATTTAGATTGATGACCATTATCTATATATCCCAAAGTCATGGGTCCAGGATAGATAATCAAACATGGATTCCGATATCCAATTTTTTTTAGTTGTATAGACATCACAATGTATCATAAATTGGAAATCAAATTATATTGAAAATATTTTATTAAATACAACTATCTTTCTATAGGTTGAAAAATATTTATATTGAAAATATTTTATTAAATACAACTATCTTTCTATAGGTTGAAAAATATTTATAGTGCTGTTTCTTTAAATCATTAATTTTCTGCATTCTCCAAATCATCAAAAGAATCGTTTCCTGTACAAATAATTAGGAGAAGAAAGCTTTCATTGAAATATTAAATCATCATTTAAAATAATACAAAACATATATTGTTGTCTATTGCAGTTTCGTAAAAGATGTCCGAGTAACAAAGGAGGAAGGATTTGGTACGACCAATGTTTTCTCTATGTTAGTACGGTAGATGTAGAAAATCCAGGCAGGACTATTTACGAGAATATTTTTTCTATGCACAATCCAAAAAAGTGAAAGGGGATGCAAAACTGTTTGCCAAGAGAGCGATAGACTTATTTTCTGAGCTAACACTTCAAGTTAAGAAACCCACCAAAAGTGGTCGCGTCACATTTTACGCAGCAGGGGAAAAGAAGCTCGGGGATAATACATTATATGCAATGGAGCAATGTCTAGAACTAACATTAGATTGTACCAGTTTTTTGCAATGGAGTATCACAGAACTTTTCAAGAAGAACGACATTAGACAAGGAGCGAGAGTTTTGCGTACGAACTGTGATGTAAGGTATGAGCTATATCCTTTTCTTAGGAGTTAAGCATTTTTATGGTGGTGTTGAATACATCCTCTTGGTAATTTCCAATTATGTTTTAGATATGTTTACTTTTTTTTTCTGAAATGTAATATCTATATATTAATTCAAATAGTGTCTACAAACACAGATCCATAGAAATTGTTTAGAAGATCAACACTGATTTCAACTCGCTTGGAATTCTTGAGCCTATAACCCAACTGCCTTTCGTTTCATCCTCAGTATCTAATAGTATTTTTGCTTTAATGACTCCAGTCGATTGCTGATATGTTTATGAATGATGTTTGGTAACTCTCTTACTGAGTGATAAGGCTGTTGATTCTTACTGCCATTACGTTCTCCAGATCAAATAGTTTGTTGATTGAAAAGAGAGTGTGACAAGCACAAAGTCATGCTCTTTTAACCACCTCGTACCTTTTATTATACATTGCATGATCTAACAATCCAGGTTTATGATCTTCTCTCAGCAGCTCTGAGCAGAACATGTCCCATAACTTACGTGAATTCAATTCTGTTGAAAACTTTGAATCAGTTGAAAATTTAAATGTGTGCCCAAAAGTGTTGTATGTCATTATCTGTAGCAATTTGTCTATAGATAATAAGTTGTGTTTCATTGATATTGAGCATCCAAATTTAGTCTTCAAATAATAAAAAGGTAAAATGTGTTGTGATATTCTTGGTTATAGAAAATTATGGCATTTTTCATTGTAACTATTTAGAAGACATTTTTTGTTATATACTGAATTCATCATTTAATAGTCTGTAAACAAAGACTTATTTCATTTGGTTTGGATATACAAAATATATATGATCCAAAACTTATTAGCAAAATTATAAAAATGAAGAAATATATAGACTATATAGGGTAAGTCAAAGATCTTATTGAAACAGAATATCCGAACATATATGTATCCTTTAGTTCATACAAGAAACAAATGCCCTAATTAAGTTAGCCGCAAGCCTCCAGAGTATCCAATACACAATAATGTCTAGAACCGTTGATTGGTCTAAGCTCTGCCCTGATCTATTACGATCAATCTTCGAAAGCTTGACCTCTTTGGATTTTCATCGAGCCAAAACCGTTTGCTCAAACTGGTATACCGTTTCAAGAACATCTCCTCTTTATCCATGGCGAATCGTATTACAAGGTCAGAACTCTCTCTTGTATGATCCCATTCAAGACAAAGTCTACCACAAAAATCTTCTTGGAATCAACTTGTCCAAAGTCCATTGTCTCGCTAGTTACAGCAACTGGCTTCTACTTGTAGATCCTTGTCTACATTTCCATCTCTTGAACGTGTTTACTCGCGAAACAATCAATCTTCCTTCATTAGATTCATCACTTCGTGACACTCGTTATAAATTCACACGAAATGACCTATTTGAATGCTTCCTTGAGCTCTACGGAACCAAGTTTCTTGTGACTTGGGATGATTTTAGGTTTTCGAAGACGGCTGTCTTGTGGATAAACGAGAGAAATGGAGATTTCGTCGTTTCATGGGCTATAAAACAATTCTATATCTTGTCATTCAAGAAAATAGCGAATAGTGGTGATGAGAGATGGAGTATTACATGCACACAGTGTGAAGACATGGCTTATAAAGACAACAAGCTTTACGTCTATACCTATGATCACTACATCAACGTTCTTGATTTCTCTGGAGATTGTCCTAAAGAAACTCTTGAAGGCAACCATTATCTTAATCATCCTTTTCCCTTCGTAGATACGATTTATAAGATGAGGATTGCGATCACAAAGTCAGGAGAGGTGTTGATCGTTCTTAGCTTGAAGGAGTTGAACAGAAAGTTTTGCGTTTGTAAGCTGAATCTTGAGGTTGGAGAATGGGAAAGAGTAGAGTCTTTGGGAGATGAGATGTTGATTTTTGGCCATGGGGTTACAATAAGAGGACCGGTTAAAGATAGAGGAATCAAGTGTGGTTCAATCTGTTTCCTTGATGATGATCATTTGTCTGATAACTATCTTGGGCCGAGGAGAGAAACAAGTTGTGGTGTGTTTGATCTTGCAACAAGTACAATCACTTGGCATACAAGATTAGATGATCCGTCTTCGAAGATTTACTGGTTTGTTCCAGGACAAACTTAAGTCTTTAATTAGTCTTTTATGTGAAGCTTTTCCCACATAACTATCTTCTCTTTTGAATCATCCTTCTTTGATTTTAGAGTTTATGGAAATTTTGATTCAATTTTTTTTTATTATGGCTAGTTGTAGCCATTGGATCTTAATTGATTCTCGTTAAGATTTGTTTCTTTTCCATGTATTTACTCGCTGGAGGACCAATCTTCCAGCTATGAAATCATTGCTTCTTGGTCAAGCTAGCTTCACAAGAAAAGAGCCAAGATCAGTGGTCAAGCTAGGTCTCTCTGCAAATTCTTATTATACTTAACAAAATTAGAACATATTACAAAGCCATTTAGTTCGTGAGTGGTGCACGAAAACTCTGGTATCAGTTTGATTTTATTTTTAGGAGTTTAAACTTAGTAAAACATTTTGACTTTAGGACTTTTTCTTTCTCCCTCTGTTTCTGCCGCCAAAAAATATGCAAACAGTTTTCTCTTTTATCCAATGAGCCAATCACTTTAAATTATCAATCTCAACACATCAATTATCAAAATCACCCTTTACTGAAACAATAAAAAATCTAAAACAATGGAATTTTCATGTCTATCCAAACGATTTATTTTTCTTATTTTCGCCATGCAATTCCTCATCGTACATAGTGTTTCGGCATTGAACATTACCAATGAGTCTCTCAACCACAAATGCTTCCTTAATCAAGAGAAATATAATTTTGGAAGTAAGTACGAGGATATCCTCAACATTCTCTTACGGAGCAACAGCACACCACAACTTGTTTCGTGGTAAAGATAGCTTCCAAAGCAAAGACCAGTGAGAATGTTTCATCGAGCGTAGTAACGTAACCTTCTTCCATTATATCGACTTGTGTTTGGTTACACTACAGATATTCTTGGAGGTGACATGTTGACCGAACAAAAAACTACTATGAGTTTATGACCACAATCAATATGAATCTATGATCAAACACTTAGTTTAAAATTTTATTTTATTTTATAAATTTGATTGTTAACGAGGAATCAAGAAATCATGAAAAAATCTTAAGGTCTCTCTCTCTCTTGCAATCAAAGGATCCACTTTTGGCTCGTGGATGAAGCAACCGTATGATCTCACAACAGTTTCCAAAGTAACCTAAGCTAGCATGTATGGTGCTCTCTCATCAGAAACCCATTCCTCCCATACCGCCCATTCCTCCCATACCACCCATGCCACCACCACCGCCCATAGCCGGAGACGCATCCTCTTTAGTTGGAATATCCGTCACAACTGCTTCCGTCGTTGTCAACAAAGACGCGACACTAACCAATCGAATAAAAAAACCAATAATAAATATTAGAAGAAGAAAAAATCATTGCAAGTAAACTTAAAATTTGACTATCGATTCTCAAACTTGGTGTACCTTGCAGCATCAACCAATGCGGTTCTGATCACTTTCACAGGGTCGATAATACCTGCCTTTACCATATCAACGTATTCTCCTGAAAAAAAAAATGCAGAGGGAAGAGAGTTTAGTACATAGCGATATAACAAGTAGAGACCATGAGCAAATAGGAAACGAATTTCTCTGACCTTTAGCAGCGTCATAACCGAGGTCAGGATCATCTGATTCCAAAAGCTTGCCTACGATGACTGCACCCTCGACTCCAGCGTTGGATGCAATCGTGTAAACGGGTGTCTGTATTAACGTAAGATTTTGTGTGTTTTAAGATTCTAGAAGCTGTTTATGATTGAGACTAAGAAAAATGTGAGGAGATGAAAACCTTGAGAGCGTTTTGGATGATTTGGACACCGATTTTCTGATCAAAGTTAGCTGTGGAAAGGTTCTCAAGCTCTTTTGACGCGTACAAAAGAGCAACACCACCGCCTGTAAATTACACAAAGTAGTTTATATTAATGTCTCATGAACTTTACCAAAGTTTATCTTACAAGATTCAGATAGTTTCTTTTTACCTGGAACAATACCCTCTTCTACAGCTGCTTTGGTGGCATTTAGAGCATCGGTTACTCTATCTTTCTTTTCGCCAACTTCTGACTCACTAGCTCCTCCAATCTACAAAGCCCACATAAAATTCATCCCATGAGTAAATATTCAGTACATTAGTGTGCTCCCAACAGAAACGTTAAGAGAACAGTTTCATTACCTTTAGTACAGCAACACCACCAGAAAGCTTAGCCAACCTTTCTTGTAACTTCTCCTTGTCATAGTCAGACTCGCTCGCTTCAACCATGGATCGTATCTGTGTGATTTTGTTTAGAGTTAGTACACAAAATCATTACCAGTTGGGGAAAACAGTCAAGGAAGATCTCTGACTCTCCTCCATAACAGTATGTGAGACGAATAAACCAACCTGTTCACATCGTTCCCCAATTGATTTCTTGTCACCAGCACCATCAAGGAAAACAGTGTCGTCTTTGGATACAGTTATCTGGTCACAAAATGCATAATCGTATTATTTATATAAATTGGAAAAGGAGAATAAGCCAAAGGGAATTCGGCAAAACAAACCTTTTTGCAGTTTCCAAACACACTGATGTCGACTTTCTCAAGATTCATCCCCAACTCTTCTGTAATTACCTGTAAAATTGAAATAACCAAAGGAATATTATACCTCATGCAATTAGTTTGAGTAGTGTTTGTCTACGCATATAGTAAAATAGTAACTATGTGCTTGCCTGGGCTCCGGTGAGGATAGCAAGATCCTGTAAATTGGCCTTTCGGTTTTCTCCAAAACCAGGGGCCTTCACAGCACAGACCTATAATTTTGATGGCATTTACATCAATCCAAGCATGCTAAAAATCTAATAAGACGTAGTAAGGAAAAACAAAACAAGACATATGACAAAAGGCAGAGAGCAAAACCTTGATTCCAGCACGAAGTTTGTTTAGAATTAGCACGGCAAGAGCCTCGCTATCCAAATCCTCCGCAACGATCAACAACGGCCTTTGCTTCTGAAAAAAGCGAAGAGAATATAGATCTCGATCTTTAGATACAAAAGTAACTTAATTAATATATGCAGAGATCACCTAATCGTTTATACCTTGAGAGCCAGTTCTAAGACTTTCACAATAGAATTTAAATTGGAGATTTTCTTCTCGTGGATGAGAATGAGAGGATCTTCAAGTTCCTGCAAGCCATATCCATGCAGAAAAAATCAGTAACGAAGTTCATTGATATTGATAAAGCAACAAAGCGTGATCTAGATCCTTACACATTTTTGGTTTTTCTGGTTTGTAATGAAGTATGGGGAGATGTACCCCCTGTCAATCTTCATACCCTCAACAACCTCAAGCTCATTAAACAAGGTCTTGCCATCCTGTTTCAAGAGATGGTCGCATAACTCAGTCACCATATAAGAAAATAATCAAACTAATTTTTAACATTTACGGATCAAATTCAACTCACTTGAATTGTGATCACTCCCTCTTTGCCAACACTTTCCATAGCCTTTGCAATCAGTTCACCAATTTCCCTATCTCCATTAGCTGATATCGTTCCAACCTGAGCAATTTCTTCAGAAGTGCTAATCATACGTGCTCTGCTCTTCAAGTTCGTCACAACGGTATCAACAGCCAATTTGATTCCACGTCTTAGATCCATTGCGTTCATTCCAGCAGCAACTGATTTACAACCTTCCGTGAAGATAGCTCGAGTCAGAACTGTAGCACAGGTTGTTCCTGTTTTTTTTTTTTTTTTGCGGAATACAAAAACAACAATTAATAAAAGGAGACTAACAAAAACGTTTTTAGTAACAATAAAAGGTTCCCCCTCTTACCATCACCAGCAACATCGTTAGTGGCGTTAGCAACCTGTTTGACAAGACTGGCACCAACGTTCTTGACTCTGTCCTTGAACTCAATGCTCTTGGCAACAGTAACACCGTCCTTTGTCACCTTTGGTGCACCCCAGCTTTGTTCAATGATGACATTACGACCCTTAAAGGATAAATTTTTATATCAAACACTGTGAGAGGTAATCAAAAACAGAAATTTGATCATCTTCATTTCGTTAATTATATTCACTAAAACAAATATTCATATCTTGAATTAAAAATCTGAAACAAAGAAAAAAGTGTGTACTTTGGGTCCCATAGTGACTTGAACAGCATCAGCAAGCTCCTCGACACCTCTAAGCATCAAAGCCCGACCTTCAACACCGAACCTTATGTCTTTTGCTGCATAGTTTCTAGTGGAACTGAGTCTGCTTCCAATCTAAACATCAGACAGAACACACATCAATACAAACATACCCACAACTAGCTAGAAACAGCATAACTAGATACAATTTAAAAGAACACGAACCTGTGTCGTAGCGTTTCTAGCAACTCTGTCAAATCAAAAAAAAAAGATTAATAAATCAAATCAATTAAAAATCAAAATTAACTTTTATAATTACAATGAAAGAAGAAAAATTCCAATTTGATGAGAATTAGCAATGATTGGATCTCTGATTAACTAATTCAGAAACAAAATTCACAGAAAAAAAAAATGAATTCAGATCGGATTCAGTTGAGCTGAGTAGATCTAACCTAGCTTTTGAAGCAATGCTGGAGACGAGACGATACATGGTGATTGATTGTTAATCAATCCGAGAGGGTTACAATTGCTTAAGAACAGATCGAAAAAAGAAGCTGAATTGACAATTCGCAGCTACCAGAAAGTGGAGAAATTAAGTAGAGGGACGAAGATTTTAGAAGTAGACTAGGGTTTAGGGTTTTGCGTTTTCTCCAAGGTCGTTGACATGAGAGCTTTAGGTTCCGATTTGGATCCGGCTCGAGTTTTTGTGGGCCTTATGAGGCCCAGTTTATTACTACACTAAATTCAGAAAATTTATAAAACAAAACTAACAAAAAAAATAGATGAGAGTTATATGCTTAGACAAATAATCCCATGTGGATGTCTCCAGCTACAGAAGAGCTTCGTTCTGATGTCTGTTATTAGTCGATGACAAGAAAGAGGGATACAAAAAAAAGACACATAAAGGTCCTTACACAACATTCACGATCATCATCATTAGTCCATCATCATCATCAGTCTCATGTACTAATGAATATATTCTTGTTTTATTTCATTCACATGTGTCTTATATAAGCTTTGGCAATGGCCAAATTGAGTTTTTGACATGGATCTTGTTCATATTATGTAATCAATTTTTTAGAACTTTCTAGGAAAGTTCTCTCAAACGGTAAAAATGTTTTAAACCAAAGTGGACATATATCTACAATTATATATGGCAACAACTAATCAAACAAATTACCAACAGAAGATAAGTTGAAATATAAGAACATACATTGTAGAAATGAGAAGCCACATCTTCCTTACAACAAAAGAAACCCCCAAAATGCTATGTTTTTACAATTATTTATTTTGGGTGGGTTTCTTCCATGGAGTGGGCTTTGTCTTCTTTTTTCACATTACAAAACACTTTCAGTTGTGTCTTTTCTCCCACATTTAACCGCTTCTCATGCATGACTTCATATGGTTAAAAGGTCAAAAATGTGAGATACAACGACGGTGACGAGCAGCCACAGATTTAATCTGTAGCTTAGCTTCTTCTTTCCACTTATTAGCAATATCATGAGCCACACTCATGGCATCAAGCGACGCACCATAGAGTCCTCTTCTGGTGAACCCCACCGCATACAATCCAGACTCCCCTTTCCACCCTTTTGGAAACGGGTTTTTCTCTATCCCAATCTCCGCCAAGTCCTTCTCCTGCATAACCATACACCAATCACCAAACAACATTTTTAGTATTGAGCATCTTCATAACTGTCTCTAACGGTAATTTTTTCCCACGAACATATATTCAAATATTCTAAATAATACAATTTTTTTTATGTTTTGTCTTACCTTAAGCCATGAAGGGACATTGCTTCTGTAACCAGTCGCAAGAACAACCGAATCGATCTTCAGAACTCGGCCATCCACGAGTTCTACCTCTCCCGGGCCAAACTTAACGATTCCCGGCACGATTTTGATCTTTCCCGATTTGATTTTAGAAAAGGCTCCAACGTCTAGAACTGGAGTCTTACCAGCGATGTTCTTCAGCTCAAACGGTCCAATTTCCGGCCTCTTAAGCCCATACTTATCGGTACTCCCTAGAAATAACCTGGTGAGAAGAAGCAGAGTCTTATCCACGAGCCAAACCGGCATCCATTTCATCATTGTTACACCTATTTCGAATGTAGACTTCCCAAGAATCTCTCTTGGCAACACATGAACCTATTCCATAAGATAAAAACAACAAAAGTTACTACTGAGAACCAGCTTATTTTTAGGTGTATGTATATAGAACATTATAAAATAATTATATGAAGAATATTTTTACTTACAGAGCTACGAACGACCATAGATGGACGTGCACCGTGGTTACATAGATCAAGAGAGACCTCCATGCCAGAGTTTCCACATCCAACTACTATAACTTGTTTCCCACGGTACCTCTCGCCAGATTTATAATCACCAGCGTGAAGAACATCGCGACCAAAATCTTCTAAACCCTCAAACTCAGGAACCACTTTCTCAGCATTTTCTCCCGTTGCCACCACGAGCCACCTGCATATATACTCAAACTCGCAAGAACCGAACAGCCCGCTTCTAGAAACAGTCTTCACCCTCCACAGGCCAAACCTCTCGTCGTATTTAGCTGACTGAACAGTCTCGTTGAACTTAGGTTTGATATCAAAGTGGGTTGCGTAGGAGTCAAGGTACTCAATGAACTGATACTTCGTTGGATATTCAGGGAAGTTATCTGGGAAGGGTAGATTGGGTAATTGACAGAATTGTTTGGGAAGATGAAGCTTGAGACGATCATAGGTTCTGTTTTGCCACAGAGAGGCTATGCAGTTAGCTCGCTCGAGGATTATATATGGAACTTCTTGGCGTTTTAGGCTGGCGGCAACAGCGAGGCCCGATGGACCGGCCCCGACGATGACCGGCCCGTTAACCCATATGCAACGCCGGGACAAAACGTCGTCTTCCTTGGGGTTGAAGTTCGGAAGCATACTTGAGATGCTGACACTATTTGTGTTCTTGTTAGTATACATCTTTTTGGGAGTGTTTAGTGTTTATGTATACTTGTCTTGTTTGTAGGAGGAGTTAGGGCAAGAAAAGGTGTGGATTTGGTTTGTGTCTTGTTGGATTGAGGATAAAGAGTTTATATAGGGAAGAGTTTTAAGCAATTTGGACTTTTGTATTCGAAAATACAATTAAAAAAATTGATTAGTATAGTCTTTTAGTTTAACTTCAAAAATGTTCAAATGATATAAGCTTGCAGCGGCATTTATTAATTCATATAAGCTATATATATAATATATCTTGCTTAAGAATGAAATTCATAGAAAACTATTACATTGAGGTTGTTGCCATTTGCTTGCTGAATTATTTCGGTTCGTTTCTACTATTTTTAATCTTGTTTGAGATCAACTTATAATAATACTGTATGATTGATTATTCTTTTTTTTTTTTTTAAACACGTATGATTGATTATTCATGTTACTATTCTCATTATAAAAGTTGTGAACGTAGTCTTTTTATCTTGACCATGTTGATGTAAGAAGCTTGGTCTTCGTGTCTTATTTGCCCTTAGATTTTTTTTCAGATTGTGTGGGTTTGCAACTAAAACTTATGAGACATTTTGAATGTAATATCGAAAAAATGTTTTCTAATAGCATTTTCACCTCACTCCATAATTTATTGCAAAATAGAATGGAAAATGAAATGATGAAAAAAAACAAAAAAAATTATTACTCTATTTTCTAATTTATTTTAGAGTAAATTATGTAATGTGGTTGGAGATGTTCTTATCTTTTATTTATTACGGTTTTATAAAAAGTAAACCTTTGTAATACAAAAATATTGATTTTTTTCTCAAAAAAAGAAGAACATTGATTCTATCATCGACAACTGCAAAATAACGTCATATTCACTAATAAGTAGATGAATATTTCACCTGTCACTATTTATAATGTAAGTATTGGAGTCAAGAATTATAAATATGTAAAGAAGGGAAAAAGAAATTATCATGAAACGGTCCATTTGAGTTGTCTATTGTCTATTGACTTCTCTTTATGCTTGTATCTCAGCGTTTAAATCCAGCCATTAGACGTTTAAGTGTTTGGTCGGAAGAATATCATACTAAAGTTATGACATTTCCCCTGTGTAAACTGTTACAAAATTATAAAATGGAATGTTTTAAGAAGATCTACATAGATCAGTGCATAAACCAAATCTAGGGTTAGATACGTATGAAACTGAAAGAGAAAGATGAGATATATACATGTGACGTCGTGTAAAATATGGGTCGCCCTTCATGTTAGTTTATTTAATTTGGTCAATTCATCTTTCAATGCTACAATGAAATGTCATATGCATCCTGATGCAATAACTCAGCACAATGATTAGAAGAAGCTTGCTTTCATTTAACATTTTACCAAAAAGAAGCTTGTTTTCCATTAGTGTTCCCTCATAAATGTAAAATTAACACTTTGACTTATATTTTATATATACTATATCATCCATACAAAACCTATAGCTGTGTGTATATATATGAAAACTAGGTGATTTTCCCGTGCTCATGCACGTACATAAATATTTTTATCGTTTTTACGGTTAATTTAGTTATCATTTGGATAAATTGGGTTGCATCTCTGATTTTAACTGTAATATTTTAAAATATATTAATTTTTAATTAATTACTTATTTGCATATAGTGGGTGTTGTCTTAGATATGTAAATATATTTTAGAAAAATTATGTATAATATATTGTGCTTAGAATAAATTAACTAAAATATCTGATTCCAAAATACGTAAATTAATATAACGATAATATTCTAAAATATAATTCATATATATAAATTTTACAAAAGAACTAAAATTGTAAGAGTTGGTTAATATTTATTTTTATTTGTTAATATGTTTTTAGCTATCCTATGATCAATAGAAGGTTTCATGTATAAGTATTTAATACATTTTTGGAAGCTCATTAACACATATCAATATTTACAATAATTAAAATTTATAAATTCTAAATAACTTCATGTTTTAGATTTATTGAATGTAAACTGAAATTTATTTTAAATAATTTTAAAATTGGGAATTCAGATTTGTTTGGTATTTTGATTATGGTTATATTTAGTTTCAATAACAAAAAAACATAAATTTTAAAAGAAAAATTAATATTAAGAAAACAAATAATTTATTGTTACTTATTTGATCAAGCGATGTTTATTGTTAAATTTATGTTTAGTTTTTAATATCTCTTAAAAATAAGCACTACACAAAATTGTGATTGTATTTGAAAATAATATTATATAAGTAAAATATAACTTATAGATAATTTTCTGTAATTGGAAGATATTATAGTTAACTAAATGTATGAAAATAAAAAAAATTCAATAATACTAATTATAAACTATTTTTACTACTCTACAAGTATATTTTATGTTATTTAAAAATATTTTTAAATGTATTATTACTATTTTGTGAACTTTTCTTTTTTATGAAATCATATTATATATGCATATATTTTTCGTTTTTAATATATTTATGTTATTTAAAAATAT